CGACGTGGGAACCCATATCTTGATCGCTACCGGCCAAACTAGCGAGTAGCTCCAGAGCCGCTATCACCTTGTTGGGAGAGGACTTAGCAAAGGCGCATGGAGCCCACGATTTCTCAACTTCTAGCGAGAACCAAGGACCCGGGCGCCCCGGGGATATCTCCAGGAATCCTCCTATCCACGCTTTCCCGTCCTCGGCCGTAGCATCTGTGAAAAAGGAGACTGGAGGCTCCCCTCTCGGTGGTCTCAGGGGTCTCTGGAGTCTATCTCCCTTCTCAAAACGATCTGCAAGCCATGAAAAGAGGACTCTCAACATCGTGGGTATCTTCATCAAGCCCGGTTTCCCCGGAATAGCGGAGGACCAGGCATACAGGGGTCCTAGGAATGGCCTCTCCCAATCTAGCGAAATAGCTGCGAAGCCGAGGTTTTGGGCCATCTCAGTAGCCGACACATGTCCTGCAGAGACTTTATCACGTAGCCACTCTATCTCTCCGTGAGGCCAAGCCGGTAGCTAGCGTACTTCTATCATGTGGCCATCTCCCGGGAGAGCAGAGGCCTCCCCCATCGTGAAAGGGTTTTTGGCCCTCCAGAATATCGCAGCTCCTAGGGGGGCGTGGCCTCCCATGAGTCTAGCACCCTCCGGCTCGCAGACGGGGAAGTTATCCTTCTCATTGCTATCCTGGGTAGCCGTGGGAGTCTCCAACGCAGCGGTCGTAGCAGTCGGCACCCAGGAAGAAACCAACAAGCTAGCTATCCACTGGCACATTCTCGGCGGCCAGCATTCGGTACCTGAGGTTTTGAATGGGCCTGAGGTGTGTCGACTTCTTATCGAACCCATCCCCTTAGCTAGCGGTAGAGGGCCCGTATAGAAGCCGTCTTTATCAAATATCGGGGGTCCAAGAAAACAAAAGGGAGGAAGCTGAACTCGGGTCTTTAGCAGCAATCTCGTCGGCTTCGGATATCCAGCACCCAAATTGCCTTGGTGAAAAACGCAGGTTATCACGCCCTCTCTTTTCAGGATATCTTGTAGCTGTGGCCACTGCCACATGGATGACGGACGTAGCCCCTGGTAGGGGCCATGTCGCATAGCTCCCAAATCTTCCGGCTGTTCCAATAGCAGAAAGTCGACCCCCGCATCCAGCGAACAGAGTGTCGCTTCATAGCAGAAGTCAGCGAATATGTTGCCAAGTATCGCCCTATCTCTTTCTGCTGCACTGAGATTGTCCAAGCCTCTCGGGCTAGCAAAGCTGCGGACCGGCCTCGGTCCTTTCTTGTTAGCCCACGGTGCTCTAGAAAAGGTAGAGCACGGCGGAGATAGCAACACCGCATCATAGTAGCCAGATCTGATCTTCTCCAGTATCTTCTTTCGCTGCTTGGAGTAGCTAAGGTCAATCCTTGGTCTCCTTTTGATATCGATGCAGTCGACAGCCAGCTTGTATCCCGATATCTCGCACAAGGCTTTCAGACAAGAAGTCATATCATGCTTCCGCGGCACACTCGAAAACAAGTACAGCACGCGTAGGACCTTCTGCTTTAGCGATCTGCGGCGGCTTTGCTGCTGCTGTATCCATACGAGGCCCGGAGGCCCGGTGAGTAGCAGATAGCGTTTCTGTAGCGTCACGCTGCCCGGGGGCCTGTGTCTTATCAGTAGCTGTAGCTTTAGCCTGTGGATTCGCAACGTCTCCAGGTCAGGTAGCGGCTGCACCCTGCGTATCGTTCTTGTTGGACTTGCACTGATAGCTCGGACGCTTGGCAAAGCATAGCGTACATACGTGGGCGAAGTGGCATTTCTCGCCCTTTTTGCAGCCACCTTTGGAATTGTATCAAAAGCATATCGGCTTGTTCTCCGGGGTTCGGGAAGAGCCCTTACCTTTGATAGCGCTCTTTCCCTCGCCTTTCCCTTTGCTATCCTTGCCCTTCCCCCCCTTGGGGTACCAGGGCTCTAGCGGGCGCTTAGCGTAGAGGGCTAGCGGAGTGATGAAGTGCCTCTCTTTCACTGTTGGGTCCTTCCAGGCCCGCTTTAGCGCCTCGCCCAACTTGTAGCCCTCCTGGCTAACTAGCTTGTACGCTAGCTTTCTGATAGCGTGATCATATCCCAGGACCAGGGTCCATGGTGGAATAGCACTGCCCAGGCCTTCAGCAGATCGTAGCCCATAC